ATCGCAATCCACAGTGCCTGCCCTCTCTGTGTTTCTGCCTGCGTTCGCCGTCGGCAGGGAGTGCCGTGAACGGGGGGCAGGGGGAGGGGAGGGGGAATTGGCCATAGCGCCATGTTGTGGTGTATGATCGCGCTGGCGTTGAGCCATCTTTCTCGTTACCCGCTGTTATTACCTCTGACCTGGTTTTTATGCCCAAAGTCTTTCGATTGCACCTTCAGGCCAATTGGTCTGCTTCTGCATAGACTGTAAAGGAGGTAACCTACGGGTTATGCGAACGGCCCTGGACTTGGGCACCCTAACGCCCATAAAGTGCATTCAAGCGTGCACCTCTTCAACTCATGCCATGCATAGATAAGTTTAAACAAAGTTACTCTTCGTTCGACTCTCTTCTGTAAACAGAAAACTATTCCATTAGTTCTAATAACAGAAAATAGATTAAAATACCATTTGCCTATGTGTGTTTCGCAGGCAGCCTTTTATGCTTCTGCCTAGTCATACAGTCGACCTGGATCACCCTATGTAGTTGGCCGTGGTAGCTATCTAATTTGTACGTTAAACTATAGCCTATCCTTCCTGGAACCGAGACCAAAATGGACAGTAAATATGAGGATGCTAGTTAATGAATAGTTTGACCCGATTAAACTGTGGTCAAATTCCTCTCTCCGAGGGGCAGGGAGGAGATGGTGAACCAGTTGGCCACTTGTCTCGTCCATCCTATGCCAATTGTGTTTATGCTACCTTAGTTATTTAATAGCCTGCTACCCTTGTTCTTCCTCTCCGTCTCTGCTCACATTCTTTCTGGTTTAACAAATTGGAGGCATTAAAATGTAGTAAAAAACAAACGAATATTGCCTTATCTGAATCGATCGAAGGGTGGTTATTAGCAAGTAAACTCCCAGGGTACTGCAATACTCAGTAGCTGTAAATAGTTAGTTTCTTTATAGTCATGTCTACTCTGTTTCTATAACATTCCAGGGAAATTTAAATTCCCTAGACGTTAGAAACATTTATATTTCAGCCAAAATTATTGTTCTCAGTTCTCAAGCCGTAGTTGCACTTCACGTACCTAGACCATCTTTCGTTAAACTGCACGCGCGAAAGATTTAGTAAGTTGGTTTCCCTGAATCGATTTTGACGTAGCATAAATCGGACATGGCCAAGTAGTTGGAGGATATTTATATTGATTAAATAATGCCTTATAAACTTAAAACCAGCGAAATGGAGATTGTGCTTTGCCCAACCTGGCTGATCTGTCCGGCACAAACCCTTGACACCTGATTGAAGTTTACGGTTCGTTTTACTACCCCGAAGGTTCGATCGTCGATTCCGACTATCTGCTCCACACCGGGGTGATGCAGGGACGGTGGTTTATGCATGGACTAGTTTTAAGCGGCAGTAGACTTGCGCTACATCAAATGCACTCTCTCCCC